TTCAAATAGTCCTTGTTTATGTTATTCAGTAGCTAACAATTAGCTTGTAACCCTTATGACTGCAAAACCGAAGCTTATGCTTCCACCGGATTTGTCTAGCTTCAACTTACAGTCAGTGGATCATGTATCTTTCCTACAGCAAATTGCCTTCACCTGTGGAATTTCTGTTCCCCAGGTAATCGGGTATTATTTGTTCAAAGAAAACATCCTTAACGTAGTGTACATACCAGATCTACCTGTGATGGTCCTGCAGCAGAGGCACTGCATAGCACAAGCACTTTGATATTAAACTAAAAAGCAGTCAGGTTTGATAGTGCTTCTCTAACAGTTCAGAACAAGAAGATGTCACAGGAGCCCAGTAAAATAAGAAGTTGCATGAATGTGTTTAACGTAAAGCAGAAAGGAGAAGGAATTTAAACTGGGTCTCAATGACTAATTGGATGTTCAACAATAATGGTGTTATAGTTGAAGCTAGTGGAGGGATCCATTATACAAGTTTTAGAGGAAACCTAATTTAGACCTGAATGCTGACATGGGAGAGGTCGGGAAAATTGTGCTAACCTTCATGAGAAACTACACCTCCAGAAACCTCTGAGCAACAAAGCTGCCAAAGGCCTACAGAACAGGTATTAACAGCTAACAGAAGGGCTTTTCAGTTGGAGAACTACTGTCAAAATGAAGTGAAATAATTGACTACCAGGCAGCAGCAAGCAGAAAAGACACTGTCTGGCAACTTTGTGTTGAGTGGGAGTATTTTAGAGGCTCATGATGAGGAAGTGTAAGGAGTATACTGAGAATATCTACTGTGTTGTATGAGAACGTAAAAACAAATGGTATCCTGACAGGAACATGGTCAATTGATTGAGAATCTGAACAAAGTCCTCATTAAGAGAGGTCCTGCAACTGTTTGGGCTGGCTTGGGCATACTTTCATGGCAAGCAGAGCTCTGACTGCAGGCCAGATCCGTACACTCATACAATCCCAGCCTAAGTGGTGGAAGCGATACCAATACCAAAGTTAGAGGCACGGGCATCAGCCCTGGCAAGCCCAGCCACCAGCCTGCTCTTCATCCTGGGCAAACATAGCTGGCTCGCCTGTGCTACCACTGGTGCTGCTTGTATCTGGTTCCTGTAGGCAAAAACTAGGAAGAACCTTTCTATGCTGGAGCTGCCCCATGTTCTGCAGGGAGGCTGCCTAGAGTGCGGTTTTAGGGGCAGCTAATGATTCACTGCAGCAAGAAAGAAAAGGGCTCATCTCCCTTTTTGTCCCCATTTCACACTCACAAGACCTTTCCATCAGCCCTTTAAGTGTCTAGACATGGAGAACTAACCACCTCTTTCACTACTATTTTCTTCCAGCCTAGTGAGCTACCATGGCACATGGAAGACTGCAACATGCACCAGTGTCAGCACAAGGTAAGAAATGGGAAGGTGAAAGCAGGTGGGGAAACCTCCCTCCCTTTTGGGTGGCCTTCCACTTGGCAGAGTTCCTGGCACTGCAGACTTACTCTGTGCAAAACTATAGCTGTTTCACCCCAAAGCAGGCTTGTGCCCTTCACATTTTTTTTTTCTTCTTTTTTTTTTAATTTCTTAATGCATGTCACATCCTCCAGGGATTTAAATCCAGCAGAGAAAATAACCTAGAGAAATACTGTGCCCATTTACCAATTAGGGTTGTTTTAATTTGCATGAGTAACATTATGCAGCCTTTACAGCTTTTTCCTGTGTCCTCTGCCAGATATAAAGCCAATATGGAATCACACAATGGGACCTCTGGAGATCACCTAGTCCAACCCTCTGCCAAAGTAGGTTCCCTACAGCAGGTTGCACAGGAAAGTGTCCAGGCGGGTTTTGAAGATCTCCAGAGATGGAGACTCCACAGTCTCTCTGAGCAGCCTGTCCCAGTGCTCTGTCACCCTCAAATAATTTTTTTCTCATCTTCAGATGGAACTTCATGTGTTCCAGTTTGTGCCTCTTGCCCCTTGTCCAGTCACTGGGCAACTGGACAGCTCACTGGAAAGTCTGGCCCCATCCTCTTAACACCTGCCCTTTAGATATTTATAAACATTAATAAGGTCCCCTCTCAGTCTTCTCTTCTCCAGGCTAACAGACACATGCACCCTTCTGAACCTGTTTAACCAAATGCTAAGCAAAGTGTTTTCTCAAGTGGCCAAACCAGAAGGTGGCTGTGCAAACTGAATAGAAGAATAGAGATTATAATAAAGATGGCAAGGGAACACCATGAAGAGTCACAGCTTTCTGAGGATCAGTAACAGGGCTCTTTTTTTTTTTATATTGGATATATAATCTTGTGGCCTGTGGAAGTGAAGGCAATAAAAAGTCATAGGTCTGATGAGTAAAATGGAAAAGACTTCCAAAAGGAAGGGACTCGATAGAAGCACACTCATCGGCTAAAGAATCAGAAAGTACAGACTATAAAAAGACATTATACACCTTTTCAAAAATGAAGACAGGAACAATTTATATTAAAACAGTGGAAAAGAGGATCTCAGGACATGTCAAAAGGGCATAAAAATAAATCAAGGGAAACCCTTTCTTTTCATGTAGAGGTCAGGAAAGAGCTTGGTTTTTTTCCTTTGAATATTTTTAACATTGTGGAAGGGACTTCCCTGTGAAGGTAAGTGTTTGAGCTGCAGTGGTGGAAGCACTCTCCTCAGTTTATGGGCTGGCTGTAAAAGGAGACAAAGTGCAGGCACTAGGAAGGTGGGTGTGAAGGCCTGTTGCAATGCACGCAGTGCTGAAATGGGTTCAGAGACATGAGAAGAAAGGTCTCCTACACTGAACATCAGCAGGAGCACATGCACCAATTAAGATAGAAAAGTTTTATACATAACACAATACCTCTTTCTTTCTTCAGGGGATACCAGGAATACAGAGGTAAAGGCAAAGAATCATAGAATGGTTAGGGTCAGAAGGGACCTTAAAGATGATCTAGTTCCAACCCCCCCTGCCATAAGCAGGGACACCCCCCACTAGACCAGGTTGCTCAAAGCCTCATCCAACACTTGATGAACACTTCCAAGGGAGGGGGCATCCAAAGAAGACTGTATCTATATCTAATTCTAATATCTATCTAATTCTCTCTGACACAGCCAGGGATACACCAGTTGTTAAGTCTGGGCTTTATAAAGTCATCTCCCTCTCAGCAGGACTTCTGCTTCCCACTCCACCGTCTTCTGAAGGTGAGGCAGGGCTGGGTTCAGAGAACACGGATGTGCCTGGTCTGATCCATTTCCGGTGCCTGTGAACCAGCACAATCCCTCCCGATTTCTCTGTTCAGACGTCAACACATATAAAGAATTCTTTAATGATTTTTAAAGTGTTTTAATTGAATTTTCTAAATGCTGAGTCCTATTATTATTTATACAGTTAATTCTGTCCTTCCTTCAGTCCCTGAAGTCACAAAAAAGTAACTGCATTCACTGTTAATCCAATCATGGTAAAATGTTCTTTCCCTGCCTCACCTCCCCTCCCCCATTCCCTTTCATCTGAATAAGGTTTTCTGAATTTCTACACTATCTATTGCACTTGATTAAAAACAAATACACACATCAAGTAATCCCTTTCCCCTTCTGTAAAAGCAGCATAACAAATACTGCAACTGAAAAGAAAATTTGTCGTGACAATTATTTTCAAAGTAAGCAACACTGAACGTCAAATAACTGGAGACATTGTAATTTATTTTTTTTTTAATTTAATGGAGAGTGGAGAAGAATTCTGGTTGTAGTGGGGTTTGGGGTTTTTTTTCAGGGGGTGGGGTTTTTGTGGTTTTTGTTCTGTTTTTATTAAAGATCTTGTTTTACATCATGGCTAAAAGACAAGCAGATTTCAGGGAAATTTTTTTGCAGTTCTTAAATCAAGCAAAATAAATTAAAGTAAGAAAACAAAACCAACCCTGTCTCCTAGCAGTGATACTGTATGCTAATACATTATATTCAGGAATGTTTGTCAAGAGAGTCTGTACAGCGTATATTTACAGAAGTTTAACTCCCTGCTCCTCTAAGGGCCAGTTCCCTCACACTTCTTCCACATTCCTTAATCTGACACAGGAAAGATAAATCCACTGTACCCAGAGTCCCACCACCTATCTACTTTGCATTCAGATGGAACACCCCAACAATTCAGTGCTAACAAGGGCTAACCTAAGCAGTGCCTTTCTGTGTACTCCTTCCCCTTGCAGGTTGCAGGGCTTGAAGTGAGTGCTTTGGTCTGCATTGACAACATACCCACCAGTTCCTTGTCTCTTTACTCCTTTACAAAGTGGCCTGGAGATCCTCTCATTCAATTCAGTCCATTTTTGGAAACCTTATTCCACATTTCTGTGTTTCCTGAGTGTGATAAGGAACAGTGCCAGCACAGAACAACCACTAACTGTGGTCAGTAGTCATCAGTGGTCTAATTTACAAACAAACTCTCTGTGCAAAGGGTTACTAGCAGAAGCATCAAGTTTTGCTGGTCCTGAAAACTAGAAATCCCATATACAAATACCTATTAATTTACAATCAAGAACTGTTCATACATATGACTGTATAATTTGGTTTATCATTCTAACTGGATTCAGAGAGGAAATTATTAGCCTAACAGGGCTGATACACATTATAGCGCACTCCCTCCTGATCACACTCTTTGCACTCCAGTCTAGTAAAAAGCACACCTGACATCTGCAGTTGCTTGCATCCTTCCCAGAGCATCATGCCATCTTCCATGGGTGTGGGTTTGTAAAGTGGAAAACCCACTGGATTAAGGCAGAAGACTGACTCAAGCGAGCAGTTCATCGCAGACACAGACAATTAGACATGATCTGATTGAACAGGCAACTGACTGCCAACAAGTATGCGTTTATGTATTTACACCTTAAAGTCCAACAGTCTTTGTAGCTTTCTCCATCCAGTCTGCACATTTAAACTGACAAAAAATAATTTGTATACATACAGCACTTAAAAAACAGGGAGGGGAAGGGGAAAAAAAAAAAAAAAAAAAAGAAAAAGAAAGCAGCCAGACCAGCAGCCTCATCTTGGTATGATCATCCTTTCTATGGCACAAATGATGTGATCCCAGTTTTTACAAAATATTGCCAGCAGTGTCATTGCAAAAAAAGTGCAAATGATATGAAAACGGCTCTTCATCATAGGAGCAATGAACTTTGCAATCGTAGAAACGCACACCAAGATGACAGTCATGAAGGCCAGGATAACATTTATACATTTCCCCAGGAGCACTTTGGCATTAACCGTTTCGGACTGCTGTGCTTGCTGTGCCTGCTGATGGAGCTCCAGCTTTGAAACTCGGGTCTGGCATGATTCCAAGGCTTCCTGGAGACAGAAAACAAGAATTAGGGCAGCTGTATTTCTATACAGCACTTTTCTTGTTTTAGCTGTAGAGCCATCCATTAGCTAGATTAGAAGTGTAATTTACTATAGACTCCTAAAACTTGAATGAACCACCAGCTCTTTTAGAAACAAATGCACGTATATATCTGCATCCGTGCATCACTGCCTGCTCAGGCATAATCAGGTCTGACAACACTGTCTAAAATGTAGTTTTTTTACATTTTTCATGCTTGAGAAAAAGTATCATAACTCTAATGTTCATGACAAATACTGTTTCTTGCATATACTGATGAGATAAAGTACTGGGAAAGCTGTTGCCATGACAACTTGCACTGCATTAAAACAGCATCAAAGTTAGTTCCTTTGAATATGCTATGGAAAACATTACAGTTGTACAGGCTTGATACGATAGTAATTAAATCTCTTTCACAACATGTACCATTTGGTTTACACCCCCTCTCTGTTTCTACATTACTTCTTCACTCAAAGCCACTCATCGTACAGTGCTGGGACTGAGTCCTCAGTAAGAGACTGTCTTCTCCCTGTGTCAGTGTGAGGGTTCATTAATCCATACCCCAAGTGGAGACTGTGGAGAAATCTGTGATGATGCTTTTATGGGATTCTCTCTCATGGGAACACGTTATATTCCACTTAACATTTTGTTCTAAAGAAAGCAGACCTTTCCCTTCTGCTTGAGGGCTGACTAAAAATGGTCTTTGAGTAAAATGGTTCCTAAGCCACTAACCCCACACTTAAGCCCTCTCAAAGTGACATAAAAATTTCTGACTGTTTCACTTATTTACCAAAATGCCACTTTTTTGCTGGAGTTGGGACTTGGGCTCCACTGTGTAACACAGTGCAAGGCTGTAATTTAATGAGATCGATTAACTTGGCATAACCTTTCACCACTGTGTAAAAGGGAAAAAGTAGCTCCAGCATCCCTGCTTCCTTCCTCACTCTCAAACTCCAAACATTTTCCTTGCACTGGGAAGGGGTTCACTTGATGACACACAGTAAGCTGATTCAAGCCAGTCCTCCATGTAAAAACAAACCAGTAAAACCACTGCACACAGAGTTACTAGCTTTCTTTGGCTGGGTCAGTTCTCCCTTCTTTCGGCAAGCTGAACTGCCTTACGATGTGACCAGCCAGGCACGACAGTCCACGTTGCACAGCACCTTACAAAAGGCTGCTTCCTTTCACTGTTCTAGGAATTAGTAATAATATAGAAGACAGTTCTTAACAGGTGGTACAGAGGGTTCATGCATGCTCTCCACTACACACTAAACAACTTCCCTGGTCCTTCTTCCACTCTGACTGTAAGTTATTCTCAGATCACCTCGTGCTGCTTTAGAGAAAGTCCAGTTGTAAAAGTCTGATACCTGCAATTCTGCGTTGAGAGGCTGAGCAAGTGTTTTAAAAATTATCTGCCCATCCCTTAGGGACAGAGTGCTCTGAAGTTAGGTTGTTACTTAAATGCTTTTACTCTATTTTAGCTTATTTGCCAAACCTCCAAAGAGACAGGTTTAAACAGGTTCAACTGTACAGAGATAAAAGAAACAAGGCTGCATTGATGTAGCACGTCCATTAGTTTTAAAAGTCTCTGACACTCCTCCGGGGTTCTGCTAATGAGTTAGTGAACATTTCTGCTGGAAAACTTGGATCTCATTCAATTTTTACGTCCTCAAGATGCCTTCACAGAAAGGAGTCCTGCATAAGAGACCTCTCTTCTTTAAACCTGCAAAGGAACCTATGATATGCTCAGACTCAGTACCATCCCACTCCTGCTCTGTTGCCAGGGGGTTCCTGACTCTCTCACCAATCAGGAAATGGGGGCGATCACCCTGCTGCCTGCGCTCTCTACATTTAGAAATGTGAGCACAGGGGTGTACAGGACAGGGTTCTGTTTGCTTGTTTGGTTTTTTCCTTTACCCTTTGAGCCAATATGAAGACAGTCTTTGAGCATTCCTCAGTTGTTAGTGAATTTAAACCCAAAGCAAGGCAAAACAATGTTTTCACCACTTGCTTGGACTTTGTGTAGAAATATTATGCATTATATAAATGCTTGTATTGTATACAAATATTCAAGTATGTAACTACATGCTGTCAGGACAAACTTGTAGAAATTATTACCAGCTTTTGATTGAAGCTAGACATGACTAAAACTGATCACTGGGGTGAACACATCCTACAGCTTTGATTATAGGGGTTGTTGGCACCATGGATTAAAACTCTTAAATTATAACTAGCAAATCTACAAGTCTATTTATCAGTTAGTTCTCTTACTTTTTACTTTAAACTCTATTTGTAATAAATCTTGCCAGTGATATGACTTCATATTGTCAAAAGTCAGAGCAGGAGGTTTGTGTCAGGACCACTTGTCCAAAGTGGCATTTTACAGAATACAAGGAGACTCGATTCCTTCCCTCTCTGGTGCAAGACATTAAAACAGGCCATTCTCCATCCACAAGTCTGCCTAGGCTATATCATCAATTCCAGCAGATAAAATTTAGAATCCACTGAAACAGAGACTGTCACCAATTTAAATGTCATCTTAAAACAGACAAATCACAGGCTTAAATCTGTCCCTAGTTTATTTATATACAAAGACGTAAAAAGATGCAAGTGTTTTACAGTACAAGATTGCTACAAAATGTTAGAAGTTTATGATAAGGGGAAAAAAAAAAGTACCTGAACATCTCGCGATCGTTCATAGGCCTGATACGCCACTTTCTCCTCTATGCTGGCTAGCTCTTGTTTCAAGTTTGCTGTCTCATGTTGATGAAGATCAGTGAGGTCATTTAACTGGTCTTCCAATCTTTCATATCTTATCAGGAAAAAAGGTCTAAATTTAGTGCATTCTATTCAAGTAATGCTAAATCATGAAAACAATTACACATTTTAAAAGGTAACTTCTCAGCGTACTATGGATTCATCTGACTGGCATTACAGAGCACACAGAGAAATCAGTAAAAACTCTGGACACTCTCCATAAGCATTTATTCAGCAAACTGAAAGGCTTTTTTGAATGTTCCTTGCTGGCAGCAGGTTTTAAAAAGCAAATATTTGTATATCATTGGCAAATTATACGAACTATAAACAGTGGGCTAAGGGTATCCAACTCACTTTTTTCCGTTTCTCACTTTTCATTTAGACAAGAAGATACAGTTTTATAAGCAAGCTGAGCCAGTTAACAGCTCATCCATGGTGAAAGGATAAATACGTTCCCTGCATCCCCTCTCAAACACAACTGCAAGGTCCAGTCATTCATATACAGCCTGGTCTGGCATGTCTCTGCACGGTAAACCATTTCAACTAAACCATCAGAAAACTGATTTATTTTTTTTTTTTTTTTTTTTTTTTTTTAGTTTATAACTTGGTTTAACACACAAACAGACAAACAGTGCTGTCAGCACAAAAATGATGGAGGCAACATCATCTAGCTGTGGAAATGATGGGAGGAGGCCTGATATCTTAATGGCAGTGAGCTGTCAGAATAGGCCGCTCTGCCTTCTCCCGAAACCAAGTCCTGAGTGCAGTAGGCCATTTGTTCTGTTCTTTCCTCCCCCGTGTTACCACCTGACATCCAGCCTTCCCTTGTGTTTCAAGAAGTGTAAACAAGGGAAACATTAAATACTGCAATTCATACTGAGGTTTTGCCCATTGGCGTAGTAAAGACTTCAAGAATCAACCCTTACTTTAACAAGCAGTATGACAAATGGGACATAGGTACAGCAGGTGGAAGCCCTCTGTAGAACATATCTCACTTCCCACAGTGCATGATAAAGGAATTAACTGACAAGTAACAAATGCAAACGGAAGTGGTGCTACACCACTTAAAATTACATTTCACAGCCATGTGTTACTCCAGGGTACAAAGTGACATTGAATCCACAAGATAGCAATGTGTCCGAGAAGTATTTGGACAAGATACTCAGGACTAAAGGGCATACTTATCAGCTCTAAGTCAGCTCTGCTACACTGTAGACCGATTAGCATTTTCAAGCCACAACAAATCGGAATTCTTCCACCAGTTACAAAACAATTGTCATCTTCTGTATGCACTGTTCACATAATACAATATGCCACTAAGATGTCAGATGAGGGAATTTTCCAAGAAGCCTTCGACAAAAGGCAAAGAACTACCACATCATCTGGTAGGAAATACTAACACGCTATTTGTATTTTCAGTTATTGGAAGGAGTGGAACTTTTTGGAACCAGATATTGATTAGAATTATTTTTTCCTCTTGCTTCTGAAATACCACACACACACAAGCACACATCCTCACTTACACTTTCCAAATAGCTTCTATACCCATTCAAAAGTAATTTCAAGAGAACAGTTAAAAAAATATACCTATATCTTTCTTCTTGTAACATCTGAGAAATAAAGCCATAGTCTCTTTTAAATTGTGCTTTTAAATTCTCAATATCATCAGCTAATTGGGACTGTGTCTCCTTGATCTCCCTTAGTTCTTCCAAAATCATGGAAAGCTTTCCTTGGCTGTCCAGGGTACTTGCCACAGCAGGGCCAAAGGAAGTATTCCCATTACTATCTGCTGAGCCAGAGGTCCCGCTTGAGCATTCATCGTCACTAACATATTTTGGTTTGGCAACAATGGTGGCACTTCCCCCATATGTTCTAGAACTTGTTTCTGGCCGAAATTCATCCAAGGTGTTTTTGAGATGAGCAATGTTGTCTGCACTACCAAATTTGTTTCGGATCAGGTTTGCAAACTCTCTAGACTTGCTGAAGACAAAGACAGGTGGTGTCAAGGATACACCTGGCACACCTGACTTGCTGCTCTCTGTTCCATGCCCAGAGACACGAGGTTTTCCATGCTGAATATCTTTCAAGTTATCTTTGGAAGTATCCTTAGTACTTTTGGAAGATCCATTTTGTTCAATATCCTTGAGCTTTTTATGATACTGTTCCAATTTCTTCTGCAGTTGGGCAATGGAGTGAGCAGATTTCTGATTCTTTTTCTCAAAGACTTGTTTAATGCGCCCAGCCTGTTGCTTGTCTGCACTGTTTACTAGTTTCAGATACTCAGCCACGTTTCCATCTCGAGCTGTTTGTTCAACTTTGATTTGTTCTGTAACCTTGAGGATTTTCTGTTTCAGGCTATCTGCACTGAGTTTGACTTTGTGAAACTCTAGGACCCCATCTGGTACATCAAAGTTCAAGTTGGTGTCAGAGCCTCCACGGCGAATGTTAAGCGGTAAACTCAGGGTATTCATGTCATGTCTTTCCACCTGAGGAGAGAGAAAAGAGATAAATGGAATTTGAATTTTACTTTTTTTAAATTCAACTTCCAGTTTCCTTTTCTGCACGTAATTGTAACAAGTACACAATATAAAGTGGCTTATAGTAGCAAAATAGAAATTTCCTCGTATAAAGCCAATGCCACGACGGAGGCATGAGACAAGAATGACCTGACCAGAATAGCTTCATCCCTATTAGGATCTTGTGCTGGTCTCTGTGACAAAAAAGGTACATTTCATTAAAGCTGCCACAACATCATATCTATAGAGACTGCTTAACAAACGTTCTAACCATAATGGGTGTTCAGAGCTTTCAGAGGGAACTAATACAATTGCTCAGACAAGACCATTGCAGAGACAAGACAGAAGCTGTATTAAAATATCTTTTAAAGATGCATTTGTTAAAGGATTTAACTACTCTTTGTTTCAAAGTGCCTGACATCCTATGTTAAAAGTTTTATTTCCAACTACAGTATTTATTATTATCTGTACTACTGAAGATCTTGCAGCAAGACCTATGCGTACACACATGTCCAGTGATCACCATTCAATCTTTTCCTTGACTAAAAACATGAAAACACAATTAAGCATTGCTGTAAGGCTTGTTTTCTCATCCTTGCACAGTTTTGGTGGCCCTCCCGGAAATTCTCTCCAGTATTGCTGTATTCCCCTTAAAATACAGGGTCAGGAACCAAGCATGGTGTCCTGCTGTTAATGACACACATCACGCACAGATCGATTAGGAGAATTGTTCTCACCCTGTGTACATAATGATGGGTTACAAACACAGAGTGGGTAACACAGCAGTAAAATTGGATTTGTATCTTAACATTTCAGAGACAAGATCATCTCTAGTACTACTTTATATTCTTATCCTTACTTTACTGAGGATTACAATACTTTTTTTTCCCCATTTTTCTTTTGATACTGCGCTGCTCAGAGTACAAACCAGGTAACATAAAAGTTCACATTCACTGACGTCTAAGGAAAATCAGCACTTGAAAAATGCAACCTGAAGAGTTCTGGAGTTGACAATTCCTCCTGGAGAATATTGGTTGATGGTGACCTTTAAGACTTGGACCCTATTCCAAGGATTAAACCAGTGCTGTAGCCTAATAAATCTGCACTTTACCAGTTTGTAAAAAATTATTTATATTGAGCCACATATTATTTTAAAAAGGTGCAAATAATTTTAATAAATATCTTAAAATTGTATATGATTTAACATAATCAGTCATATGTGCTTCAAAGAAAATCTACTTTATTGATGAGATCTTATTTTACCATTTGCATATGACACACATGGATGGCATTCTATATTCAGGGTGACACCTAATTTAAAGAGTGACAAAAATCACAAGTGTCAAAACTAATTTCTATTTTTATTGATTTTGTTTTTAACAAGTCTTTGAAATATAACTAATAGGAAAAAATGGCTTTTACAAATCACTTTAAAAAAATGATAACACTCATACTGTTGCGGTAGCTGAAACATGCATATAATATAAGCAAAAACAGTTTGACAGAGGGCACTTGTGTCTTTCCAAAGGCTCATACAGCAAAGAAAAGCAATCAAGGCAAATAGCTGAAAAGCTTGGATACTAGATATGCACCCCCTATTGCAGATATTTCTTTAAATTGATTTACTGAGTCTGGACAAATTCATTACACAGAAAAAACTTGGTATAAAACAGTAGTTTCCTGAAACAACCCGAGACATTTTTGGGTAAGCTTTGGCACAAAATTGTACTGTAATAAATCACCGAACTGCATATACACACAAGACAGATCCATCACTGATGTCACTCAGGACAAGCTGTACATACTTCCAAGAATGGGTGGGTCTCTCTCTAACCTTTACACAGCATTAAGTGTTTACTTCCTTAGTACAAAATAGTCTAAAAATATATTGTAATAATTGGATACAAGCCCAAACCAGATCCCTTCCCCCTTATGTCCTCTCCCTCACTGGAGTTCACCAGAGTCTCTAGTGGTCAGCAAGGTCTGTCATCACCACGCACCTCCTGCCTTCCTGGAGCTTCAAGGTCACAACATCAATAGAGATAAAAAGAACAATAGTGTTAAGGGAATACATCTGCTGAAAGTTGCATTGCTTTTGGAGTTGAGGAAATCAATTAGCATGTGGCAAATCTACTTCTGAAATGAGTAAAACTAATTGAAAAGACAGTTTAAATTCAGTGAAGTTTAGAAAAGAACTGTTTAAATTCCCAAAACACTACTAGGAGTAGTTTTTTAGCATACTGGATTGAGGGCTCACCAAGGGTAAAGAAGAGTCATATCCAAGTCATTCCTCTACCTGATTGTATTTGGCCAAAATAGCAGTTGTCCTCTTGCCATCATGATGCAAGGTTGGGTCAAGCAACAGGGGGTTTTTGATTTTTTGTTGTTGGTGGTGGTTGTTTTTGTGTGGGTTTGCAGGGGAGAGGGTTTGGGTTTGTTAATTTTGTTTTTCTGTTTGCTTGCTTTTGTTTTGTTTTAAATCAGAAGCAAGAAGACACTGGAGGACCCAGGTATCTCTAGACCAGTGGCCTATCACTAGTCTTCTGTCTTGATGAGATACAACAGTTTGGCAAAGATCCATTTGTGATTGCTTTATAGCTCAACACTAACGTTACTGCAAGACAGCAGAGGTCCAACTTCAAATTCTATCTCAAATGGTACCCCAAAGCCTCCTTGATGCAACAGTCTCATCTTGAGATGAGAATTACCCTCTGTGTACTTTCCTGAAGCACTGTGAATGCAGGTTGCACTTTGTGCTTTATCAAATACCCAAGTTCTTTATACTGAGCAGAGGACTGTCAGTAGGAGTCTGAGATGCTACCTCATCCCCACAGGGACTGGCACACTCTCATGTGATGCAGGCTGAAATTCCCTGCGATCTACATGAATGCTCTTCCAGCTCTGCCACAGGAAGAGATGATGGATGTCATCCATGCCACTGTTCTTTCTGTGACTCTCGGGTCACCAGTACCTGACAAGGGCACCAAGCTGTTAATAATAAAGACGTTGTTGAGAGATTGATTTAAGATTTTCATTGTGGCTGCCAAAAGAAAACCTATATATACATATATATGTATATATATATATGTATGTATGTATGTATACACACACACAGCAGTGGCCCCGATAGCCAAAACAACTTATCTGGGACCAGCCATATTTTTGGAAGCAAAAAGCACTTAAAGAAATCTTGAAGAAGAAAGCTGGGACTTTGAGAGACCACTGCATTTTATGGAGCAGTCCACATATGCACTTTGCTACAACCCAGTTGAGAACTAATTGTAATGTTTGTGCTGCTCAAAGACTAGCTTTTAAAACCGGTGATTTAGGAGCGCAGCAATTCAGGCTCCTTGCCTGCATCAGAGCCAGATTACTAGACAGGTATCTCTCAGACGTAAAGCAACTTCATTTTGCCCTAACCCCATCCTTTTTCCAAGGAGCCAAGCAGATCCCTAGCTGGCTGTTCATGCAGCCCATCCCAAGCCCAGAGCTTCGGAAGGGATAGCAGAATAACTGCTTGGTGCAATGAACACAGGCACACTGCTAGGAACCCTTCATTACACATTACACATACTTTCAGTCCTAAATGGTAAGTGGAGGGCTGGGTAAAAGGCAACCTGCCACTCATAAAAAAAAAAAGCTTTCAGAGCACAGCAGTGCTTTGAAAACCCAATCACAGAAGCAAGGATAGGGATTTTATTGGCATCATAATGATTCACATGTTTTTTCACTTACCATCTACAAAAGCAACTCAAAGCTTAGTTTTGCACACCACGCTAACAATGAGCTCAGAGCACAAAAGGTCCCATGTGCCCAAATGCCACAGGTAGGGCTGTTGGAAAGGGGTTCCACATAGACAGGAACTAGTGAACGAGTGAGAACATTGTGCTTAACAGCCTGTGTAGATTGGTCATTGTATCCTCTGGTTGCAAAATGCAAAGCAGATGTAGAGGGTTATTTCTTCCCCAAACATCTTGGGTAAGATCCATTCAGGAGAAAGAAATCTGTAGTGAACAGAGCAGAGAGAGCTGCAGCCCACCCTAGTGCAGCCCATATCTCATGGCTGCTCAGATGAATCACTTCCTCTGTTCCACTGTGTCAATAGCTCCCCAGTGATAAGTGATAGCTCAGCCACCTATGTTTAAGTGTCAAACTGAATTCTGCTGTTTATTTCAGAGGTTACTTTCATACTCTTATGAAGTGGCTGAAAGAAGCAGAGAGAAAAAGCATTTGCAAGACAGTCATTGACTGCATATACACATCAGGCTCTAGATAGCACACATCTTCGGGTTGCCTCACTAAGAGAAGCAAACCATGAAGACACAAAGTGTAGATTGCTTAGCTTAAAGGTGGTTGATTTTTTTCTTTTTCTTTTCCCAAACATCCTCATTACCATCACCAGCCATAGCTGTGCAAGCTAAACAAAAGCTTATGATGACAATTTAAGTCTATCTTACAAGATGTTTCGAGGGACATCTGATTAGTGCTTAGAAAAAGAATCTCTTAAGAAACACACAAGGTAGGATTAAGGCAGCTCTAAAGCTTTTAGGGTTTAGGTACAGCAACAAAAAATAATCAGGAGTAAATCTCTTTTTTGTCAAGAGGTATACATATACCAGAAGCACAGGGTTTATAATAGGTAAAAGAACATGCAGAAGAGGTTTTGTTACTTTTTAAGTATATTCCAAAGGAAAAATGTGTTTGGGGATAGAGTTTTACCATCTCTTTCAAATTCACTGCTCCTTCTAAAACCCACAGGAGAGGAATCCTTCATGGAAGGCTTAAAACAGTGCTTAATTATCATAAAAGTTTTAAAGTTATATAAAATCATTCCCCCAAATTGCTGTACAGTATGTTACAGCAAAACACCTTCTGCTCATGTTTTTTCAAAGAGATACTTAACAGTAATATCTAGAAGTATTTGCACTCAGAACATCATACTACTAATCATGCAGAGGGTTGACAATATAAGAGAC